CACACGGCTCTATGGGCCCGGAGGCCTCAGTGTTATTAGCATATGCATCATTCGCGCCCACACGAATCCCCCAGGGTCCCTGTCGTATTTAAGTCATTTAGCCGGCGGCTCATCCGTTCGTTTGACTGGACATTCATAGGAGAGTCATCACACACACACACACACATAACCAGCAGAGGCACACAAACGCGCGGCACGCTAAAACCCGCCATCAAGCCTATAATTTATTTAACTTTTGGAGAGACATCCCCAGACTCCCGGATGGGCAGTGGCAGGTGTTGTGTCGTGTGCGGGGTTTTTTAATTGTCTGGATGTTGCGCACACAACACATGGGTGAGGGGCTCTTGCTGTGATGTTTCGTCTCACCCCACAGCCTTCACCACACAGCCTCTGGGGGTCAGTTGTTTTTTCAAACACGCCACGTGACGCCACCACACGCCGCCCTGATTCATTTGGAGGCCACAATATCCCAATGTGTCAGAATGTCTCGACGACGCCGGGGTTATGGGGGATGCATTTGCAATACGTCCAAAGCATGATATACACGTCGGGTGCATGCAATGTGGTATGGGATGTGGGGTACGTTTAGATTCTTTATATGGGACAGAGGGCGCAAAGGGTCGTCCAGCTGTGGAGGGCTGGAGAGAGGTGCCGTGGGGGACTCTTTTTAACATCTTTTTGCACAAACGCTTTTGTGGCGTTTTTGTGGGTAGGAATGCATGTGTTTTGTCTTCTCCCACTTGTGGTGGTGTAAGTTGTTTTGAGCCACACCATCCTGTGGCGCGCAAGCGAGATTTTGTGCGCACGCAGCTGCAGCTGCGTGTGTGCATGTGCATGCATGCGCTCGAACTGCATATTCATTGCCGACCCGTGGGTTTTCCTCTGCCCCGACGACGCCCTGTGGCGTCCTGCTTCCCGTATGCTAGCTTTAGCACGTGTGGAACAACTTAGGGCAGAACGATAGGTGTGATGGGAGCGACAAGCAAAGCTGTCGTGCTCAAATGGAGCGCGCTCAAATGGATGTTCGGCGACATGTTGACAACGCCACACACAAGCAACTCCACAGACTAAAGCGGGTGATGCGCATATAGACGTGTACATGATTTTTGAGGACATGACCTGGTGTATGGTCCCTTTCCTCTAAGCGGCCGCACAGCCACGGGCGGCTAATGTCCGGACACACCATCGAACATCAACCGCCTGGCAAACTGTGCTTAATCAAGCGACATAGCATATCAAAGTGCGGCATCCTCGATATGCATTCGATTACAGCGCATACAATGTCGAAAAAGCCGACAACAACTCAGAGCGGCACTGGCTCATACAACGGCTCGTACAACCACTCCAACCAGCGAACAAACATTCCAAATCGCGACGCGACAGCATCTCACGCAGCTGTAATATCGTGAACAACGGAAAAGAAAAACCGCTTGTCCATGCATTCCGCCTACCGTTTCCATAGCTTCAGTTCCCAACGCAGCCATCAGAAACGCGACCGTGCAACGAAGTGTGTCAACGCATGCGCAGCGAAGAAATCTGTAGCACCAGGCGTCATAAAAAGGTGTGAAGGCAGCGCGCACGTTGGTTGCTCCGTGTGTGTGTGCGCGCGTAGTCCGCCGCAGTGTGTACGCGACCTCCGCACCGCACCCATACATGGCTTCCACGCGATGCCCCAACCGCCCAATCGGCATTTCTACGCTAAGAACCCTCATACCAAAGCCAGCACCGAGGCACGGCCCATACGTTCTTGAGATAAAACATAATTATTCTACCTGCTACCGGCCCCTATGTAAAAACCCTATGGACAACAAAACATACAAGGCCCCCCTTTCCCCCTTTTGGCAGATGGACTGCAGCAACAGCAAACCAGCATTCGATGGGGCAGCGACAGGAGCGATAGCATACATATGTGAGGTAAGGGGGGCCTGCTGGCAACACAACCAATAGGATGCCATAGCAGATGTCGTGGGGCCATCGTCAGGGGGGATGGCAAAACGAGGGGGGAAAAGGGGAAAACGCGGCGGGGCGGAATGGTTAGGAGGGCGTGTTTCAGGGCATGACGGGGGCCCCCCGCAACCTAGGCGACGCATTCGTTCGAATGTCACCATGGCCGCAGTCGGGGGATGGCAAAACGAGGGGGGAAAAGGGGAAAACGCGGCGGGGCGGAATGGTTATGAGGGTGGGTTTCAGGGCATGACGGCGGCCCCCCGCAACCTAGGCGACGCATTCGTTCGAACGTCACCATGGCCGCAGTCGGGGGATGGCAAAACGAGGGGGGAAAGGGTGAAAACGCGGCGGGGCGGAATGGTTAGGAGGGCGTGTTTCAGGGCATGACGGGGGCCCCCCGCAACCTAGGCGACGCATTCGTTCGAACGTCACCATGGCCGCAGTCGGGGGATGGTAAAACGAGGGGGAAAAGGGGAAAACGCGGCGGGGCGGAATGGTTATGAGGGCGTGTTTCAGGGCATGACGGAGGGCCCCCGCAACCTAGGCGACGCATTCGTTCGAACGTCACCATGGCCGCAGTCGGGGGATAGTAAAACGAGGGGGTAAAGGGGAAAACGCGGCGGGGCGGAATGGTTATGAGGGTGGGTTTCAGGGCATGACGGCGGCCCCCTGCAACCTAGGCGATGCATTCGTTCGAACGTCACCATGGCCGCAGTCGGGGGATGGTAAAACGAGGGGGAAAAGGGGAAAACGCGGCGGGGCGGAATGGTTAGGAGGGCGTGTTTCAGGGCATGACGGAGGGCCCCCGCAACCTAGGCGACGCATTCGTTCGAACGTCACCATGGCCGCAGTCGGGGGATGGTAAAACGAGGGGGTAAAGGGTGAAAACGCGGCGGGGCGGAATGGTTAGGAGGGCGTGTTTCAGGGCATGACGTAGGGCCCCCGCAACCTAGGCGACGCATTCGTTCGAACGTCACCATGGCCGCAGTCGGGGGATGGTAAAACGAGGGGGTAAAGGGGAAAACGCGGCGGGGCGGAATGGTTAGGAGGGCGTGTTTCAGGGCATGACGGGGGCCCCCCGCAACCTAGGCGACGCATTCGTTCGAACGTCACCATGGCCGCAGTCGGGGGATGGTAAAACGAGGGGGAAAAGGGGAAAACGCGGCGGGGCGGAATGGTTAGGAGGGCGTGTTTCAGGGCATGACGGGGGCCCCCCGCAACCTAGGCGACGCATTCGTTCGAATGTCACCATGGCCGCAGTCGGGGGATGGCAAAACGAGGGGGGAAAAGGGGAAAACGCGGCGGGGCGGAATGGTTATGAGGGTGGGTTTCAGGGCATGACGGCGGCCCCCCGCAACCTAGGCGACGCATTCGTTCGAACGTCACCATGGCCGCAGTCGGGGGATGGCAAAACGAGGGGGGAAAGGGTGAAAACGCGGCGGGGCGGAATGGTTAGGAGGGCGTGTTTCAGGGCATGACGGGGGCCCCCCGCAACCTAGGCGACGCATTCGTTCGAACGTCACCATGGCCGCAGTCGGGGGATGGTAAAACGAGGGGGAAAAGGGGAAAACGCGGCGGGGCGGAATGGTTATGAGGGCGTGTTTCAGGGCATGACGGAGGGCCCCCGCAACCTAGGCGACGCATTCGTTCGAACGTCACCATGGCCGCAGTCGGGGGATAGTAAAACGAGGGGGTAAAGGGGAAAACGCGGCGGGGCGGAATGGTTATGAGGGTGGGTTTCAGGGCATGACGGCGGCCCCCTGCAACCTAGGCGATGCATTCGTTCGAACGTCACCATGGCCGCAGTCGGGGGATGGTAAAACGAGGGGGAAAAGGGGAAAACGCGGCGGGGCGGAATGGTTAGGAGGGCGTGTTTCAGGGCATGACGGAGGGCCCCCGCAACCTAGGCGACGCATTCGTTCGAACGTCACCATGGCCGCAGTCGGGGGATGGTAAAACGAGGGGGTAAAGGGTGAAAACGCGGCGGGGCGGAATGGTTAGGAGGGCGTGTTTCAGGGCATGACGTAGGGCCCCCGCAACCTAGGCGACGCATTCGTTCGAACGTCACCATGGCCGCAGTCGGGGGATGGTAAAACGAGGGGGTAAAGGGGAAAACGCGGCGGGGCGGAATGGTTAGGAGGGCGTGTTTCAGGGCATGACGGGGGCCCCCCGCAACCTAGGCGACGCATTCGTTCGAACGTCACCATGGCCGCAGTCGGGGGATGGCAAAACGAGGGGGTAAAGGGTGAAAACGCGGCGGGGCGGAATGGTTAGGAGGGCGTGTTTCAGGGCATGACGGAGGGCCCCCGCAACCTAGGCGACGCATTCGTTCGAACGTCACCATGGCCGCAGTCGGGGGATGGCAAAACGAGGGGAGAAAGGGTGAAAACGCGGCGGGGCGGAATGGTTAGGAGGGCGTGTTTCAGGGCATGACGGAGGCAACCGCAACCTAGGCGACGCATTCGTTCGAACGTCACCATGGCCGCAGTCGGGGGATGGCAAAACGAGGGGGGAAAGGGTGAAAACGCGGCGGGGCGGGGCGGGAATTGGAACAGGGCAGAGGTGCCACCCACGTTCTTGTGGGTCTGGGTTCAATTCCCAGGTGTCCCGTACTGACCCATGGTACATACATACATTTGTACGTGAATGCATGAGCACACGGATGGGTGGGCACACACATTCACACGCAAAGGACGGAGGGAGGGAAGGCCAAGGGAACGCAGGGGACAGCAGAGGGGAAGGCACAGGATGGCAGAAGGGAGGGCAGATGGAAGGGGAAGGGAGGATGATGGGAGGGAGCGTGGAGGGAAGTTGGGGGGATGATGCAGGAAGGGTGGAGGAAGAGTGGGAAAAGGTATTGTGGAGGGATTATTGAGGGAGGGTGGAGGGAGGGTTGGAGGGAGGGAGGGTGAAATGATGGAAGGATGGAGATGGTGCGCCACGCATTTCTCCCTTCTTTCACACCCCGAAGGAAGAAACAGCCACACGGCTCTATGGGGCCGGAGGCCTCAGTGTTATTAGCATATGCATCATCCGCGCCCACACGAATCCGCTGTGCTGGGCGGCTTAGGGGAGGGCGGCGCTGCGCTGGGCGGCGCAGGGGAGGGTGGCGCTGCGCTAGGCGGCGCAGGGGAGGGCGGCGCTGCGCTGGGCGGCGCGGGGGAGGGCGGCGCTGCGCTAGGCGGCGCAGGGGAGGGCGGCGCTGCGCTGGGCAGGGCTGTTCTGGGCAGTGCAGGCGCGGTGTGGGGCGGGAATCGGAACAGGGCAGAGGTGCCACCCACCTTCTTGTGGGTCTGGGTTCAATTCCCAGCTGTCCCCAAATGTTATGACCCATGTTACATACACACATATGTCCGTGAACACATGAGCACACGGGCAGAGGGCACAAACACAACTTAACACAAAGGACGGAGGGAAGGGCAAGGGAGAGCAGGGGACAGCAGAGGAGAAGGAACTGAAGGGCAGAAGGGAGGGCAGATGGGAGGGGAAGGGAGGATGACTTTGGGAGGGCGGAATAAGAGTGAGAAAAGGTGTTGTGGAGGGTGGAGGGAGGGAGGGAGGGAGGGTAAAAGGATGGAAGGGTGGAGGGAGGGAGGGAGGGATGGTGCGCCACGCATTTCTCCCTTCTTTCACACCCCGAAGGAAAAAACAGCCACACGGTTCTATGGGGCCGGAGGCTTCAGTGTTATTAGCATATGCATCATTCGCGCCCACACGAATCCCCCAGGGTCCCTGTCGTAATTAAGTTATTTAGCCGGTGGCTCCCCCGTTCGTTTGACTGGACATTCATAGGAGAGTCACACACACAACCTGCACAGAGAGGCACACAAACGCGCGGCACGCTAAAACCCACCATCAAGCCTGTAATTTATTTAACTTCTGGAGAGACACCCCCAGACTCCCGGATGGGCAGTGGCAGGTGTTGTGTCGTGTGCGGGGTTTTTGATTGTTTGGATGTTGTTCACCCAACACATGGGTGAGGCGCTCTTGCTGTGTTGTTTCGTCTCACCCCACAGCCTTCACCACACAGCCTCTGGGGGTCAGTTGTTTTTTTAAATTCGCCACGTGACGCCACCTTACACGCCGCCCTGATTCATTTGGAGGACACACTTTCCGAATGTGTCAGAATGTTTCGGGATGCATTTGCAATACGTCCAAAACATGATACACGTCGGATGCATGCAATGTGGTATGGGATATGGGGTACGTTTAGACTCTTTTTATAGGACAGAGGGCGCAGGGTCGTCCAGCTGTGGAGGGCTGGAGAGAGGTGCCGTGGGGGACTCTTTTTAACATCTTTTAAACAAACGCTATTTATTGTGGAGGAGTGCGCGTTTTTGTGGGTAGGAATGCATGTGTTTTTATCTTGTCCCACTTGTGGTGGGTGTTAGTCGTTTTGAGCCACACCACCCTGTGGCACGCAAGCGAGATTTGTGCGCACACGCAGCTGCAGCTGCGTGTGTGCATGTGCATGCATGCGTTCGAACTGTTTAGTCGTTGCCGACCCGTGGGTTTCTCTCTGCCCCGACGACGCCCTGTGGCGCCCTGCTTCCCGTATGCGCTAGTTTTAGCACGTGTGGAACAACTTGCAGAACGATGAGGGTGACGGGAGCGACAAGCAAAGCTGTCGTGCTCAAATGGAGCGTGCTCAAATGGATGTTCGGCGACATGCGAACGCCACACAAGCAACTCCACAGACTAAAGCGGGTGATGCGCATATAGACGTGTACATGATTTTTGAGGACATGACCTGGTGTATGGTCCCTTTCCTCTAAGCGGCCGCACAGCCACGGGCGGCTAATGTCCGGACACACCATCGAACAACAACCGCCTGGCAAACTGTGTATTTCATCAAGCAAC